TCATGCAGGTAATTTCTATACCAATCTATTCAAGGATTCAGTAGATGTAGCTCAGAAGCTAGGCAGTGACCTTAGCACTACAGTATCAGATATAGCCAACCTCCATACTCCATTTATGAAATCATCTTTACCCATAACACTCCAAGACATGCTCATCAACAGTCTCTCTCATGTGAGGTGAGCCAAAATCGTATACTAATATACATGTATACAGTTAGTTACTGACCCAATGTCTTATAAACATTGGGATTTAGAAAAGGTCAAAAACCCCACCAATTCTGATGCAGCTAGTGTCATATTCTAGATCCAGCTTTAATTTTTACATAATTTAATATATATGTGACCATAATTGACAAAAGGTACCTTATGGCGGGTAGTGAAATTTGTCTTTCTAGCCTAAGAAATCCAACTTCCTGAGCCCCAGTTATCATAAAATTACTCCACAGGATGCAAAAAGTTACCATGAAACTTTTAGAAACAATGATTGTTTAACAAAGCACTCACAGGTTGATATTTTTCATTATAACTATCAATTTTAAAATCCGCCATAAGGGCCCTTTTGTCAATTATGGTCACATATACATGAATATATATATACACATGCAGGTCTGCCTTTTGGTTAAATGATGGTAGATGGAGGCAGTGGGAAGCATATGACTGTGTCAATATAGGTAAATATGACTGATCGTTGAATATCTGATGTTGCTATGCATTCAGATTCTGTCCACAATGATGGAGAACGTCATATTCCCTACATCTCTATCTTTCCAAACAGCACCATCAGCAAATTGTATGCCTGGGCAAAGTATCAAGAGTCAAATGGCATGATTCAAGAGCAGCTACGTTGTGGATGTATGACAATGACTGACAAATCACCAGTGAGGATTAATTATAAAGAGAATGCAGTTTTGCATTACAATATTAATTGCTAATGAGATTATGGGCATTTAAAAAATCTATTTCAACTATGTATGTATTTATGATCAATTATTAATTTTTCCTCATAATAGAGAGTTGATTCTGGTTGTGGTCGAGCCATGTGTGATGTATCCTCCATGTTCATTGTATATCTGCTGGAGCTCCTCACCTGGCATGATGACCCGTACTCACAACAGGTTGTTAGGGACTTGTATAATGCCTCAAAGAAAGCTGCACAGTGGCACATGTCTGTCAGCACTGCTGAGGGCATTCCTCTCCATCTGGTGGACACATATGATATAGTGAACTTGGCTGCTTATCCTTATGACACATACAGTGGTAGTTTCCACTTACTGGCTATGAAAGCTGCAGAAACTTTGGCTTATGCAATGGGTATGTATTTGCCAATAAATGCACTAATGATTGTAACCTTGAACTTTTGCTGTATTTTTATAGTAGCTTACACACAAAGCTTTCCATAAGATAATTATAGCACCATACTTCTAAGCAAAGTGGCATGATTTGACTATACTTTTAGAATGATTTATGATATTCATGTAGCTATATTTTTACTATCATGGCTGAAATAAATAGTAGATAAATTGTATAACAAGCAGCC